TCACGTTCAGAGCCCTCCAAAAGCTGCTGTGCTTGGTTTGGAATGGGCTCTGTGCTGTTTGTGCTCTGCCCGGCTGGAGCACAGGGGAAAAGCACAGAAGGTGCAGTTTGGAGCAGTTTCTACAGGGAAAAACAGGTCATGGGTGTGTTGTGTCAGAAATGCATTTAGGATCAGAACCCTCTGCAGGTCACACRTGCTGAGGGGTTTTAATTGAACACACTCTGATAAAGGGCTGGGGCTCACTCCTGCATTTCAGTGGTGTGGGGGATTTGTGCAGAGGAAAAGCCACATCTTGTCTGTGCAGATCAGARCTGTCATTTATGTGCTGTAGAAATGAAAAGGCCTGAACTGTGGTAACCAGTGCTTCCAGACAAGAGGAATCAGGAGGAATCGATCTGAAGTCTCATATTCAGGAGGTGTTTTCTCTTGGCAGGTCCATCAGCTCTGCTGGGCACGGGGTGCTGCTGTCAGTGCCACACAGGGGAATGAATAAAACACTCACAGCTTTTCACAAATGCTCARAATTCAGCCCAGAACCATTCCACTGGAAATCTGTGATTATATTTCTGAGGCAAGACAGCTTGGAGGGCTTTTTGATCTGTTTTTCCTCCTGTATCTTTTGTTGCATAAATATTTAGTTTCATATGGTTTCTTATCATGGTGGTAAAGATGCAGATAATACTTTCATATCTGTGTGTTTATGAAATTTTGCTTTGTTTTTAGAACTTTACAGTCATCATTGAATAGGATAAGCCTGTTGGTATCCTAACAAACAGATTTCTAGATGGAATGGCTGATTCAYAGAATAATTAGGGTTGGAAAAGACTTCTGAGGTCACTGAGTCCAGTCATTAAAGATGTAAATGCAGAGCCTGGTACGTGTGACTTGTCTGAATTCCTACATGCACCCAAAGAAACCTCATCATTCCTGTCTTTATTCTTGAGAAACTCAACTCTGTTTAGTCTGGATGAGCACATTGAGGATTTTATTAACAATTCACAGATTTATAGGCTCTTGCAAGAATGAAACTCTTGAATTGCTCAACGTGAAATTCTTTGATGGTGACATAGTCKAGGAAGCCACACAAGTGCTTCTTTCACTGATGTGACAGTAAATGATTAAATCTTTTATTGAGCAAGAGTTGGTACTCACCTTCTTTCCTTTCACACAGCTGTGGAATGTAAGTCACCACCATGGCAGGTAGCTGTGGAATGAGGATGTTTGAATATATTGTGGAGATACTGTGTTTTTACACAAAATTTTTCTTTTTTTCTAGCAGATAACAGGACATTGACTCAGACTGTATTAAATTCTCTTTAAGTGGAAAAGTGGGGAAGAGGAATATCAACTCCCATGTCCTTTGTTCTTTCTGGTGTAAGAATATTAAAATGCAGATTTGTTTTTGTGTTGCAGGCCCAGCACAGGGACACGTTCATTGAGGAACGCTATGGGAAATACAACATCAGTGACCCACTGATGGCTTTGCAGAGAGATTTTGAGACCCTGAAAGAGGGCAATCATGCTGAAAAGCAGCCAGTATGCTCCAATCCTTTATCTATTTTGAAAGTGGTGATGAAACATTGCAAGAATATGCAAGAAAGAATGTTATCCCAACTGGCTGCTGCAGAAAGCAGACACAGAAAGGTRGGTTTTGCCACAATGAAAATGTGCAGAAGGGAATAATTGCATTTTGATAACGTGGTAACTTCAGCAAAATGCCTTGAGGTGGGATTTTGCACCTTTGTTTAAACTTCTCATTGCAGGTAATGCAGCTATGGGTGAGCTATTTAGTTATAATTCCAGAATTTGGAATACACAAAAGATGGTTTTGTTAGGACACACCAGAAAGGAATTGGCTTACAGCTGGCAGGATCAATGCTTCCCAAAATGCAAGAAAGGCTTTCTGGAAGATGGAATTCCAGCAGATTTATCACTGTTCTCTGTCCATGGTTATTGAAAAGCTGGTGCCAGCTGACAGCACCTCCTTGTGCTTTCCCAAGGAGGTACAGAGTGACCAAAAGCACTTCTGATGCTTTCCATTTTGACTCTTTAATGAAGCACTGTTCCCTTTCAGACATGGATTTGGTGTGTACTGACACCAGTGAAGTGCTGGGACTGTGTGTCAAGACTGCACTTCACAAAAATTGAATTCAGGAGGAGTAAAACAAGGCTGTGTTCACTTCTCAGCCAAATACCCAACCAAATCATACTTTGTGAMAAGCTTCCTGTATACTTGATGATATTTAAGCATTGCTTGGGAGCCTAAATCTCAGGAAAATTGAGGAGTTGCTAAATTCCTGGTGAGCATGTGTTGGGAGAGCTTAGTTTTGGTGATGAGCTACAGCAGAGCCTCTTGGAAAGTTTGTATTCTGGGCTTTTTGTTGAGTTAATAGCATTTCAATTATTCATGTAATTCAGTGTTAAAGCTGAAGGAGCTCCTTATGGGAAGCAGTTTCATTTGAAGAGCTCATCGTGTTCTTAAGTGGAAGAACAAATGAATGTTCTTTAAAATAAACTTTGCACTGGAGTGCTCAGAGGAGAAGCCAGGGTGGAACTGGTGCTGCAGCACAGCACAGCAGGGACTGTCCCACTGTCAGTGTCTCCTGCTGGCTTTGCATGGACAGTCCTGCCAGGAAATTCTGASTTTCGAGGCACAAGAGGCACAAACTGAAATACAGCAATTTCCAGCTGAATGTGAGGAAAAAGTGACTTATTTGGAGGGTGACAGAACAGCAGAGCAGGCTGTGGAGGGGCTGTGGATTCTCATTCCCTGCACACACTGAGAACCCTCCTGGAGGGRTCTGTGCAGCCTCCAGAGATCTCTCCAGAGATCCCTTCCAACCCCAAATGTTCTGGGATGAGGGCTCCATTCCTAACACCAGCTTCTCAGGGATATTGCACAGTCTGGAGGAAACCTGTGCAGCCTGGGTATTTAATAATCAAAATTAATGTAGATCCAATAATGTGAGCTTTTCCCAACTTTCACAAACTGACTCAATTTGAGCAGATAATAACATTTGTCCAAAAGCTGCGTTTTTATGATTTGAGTTATCTGAGGCTGCTGTGGCTGCTGTCCTGTGTCCCTGTGGGTGTGTGTGAAGGCACTGCTCTCTCCCTGCCTGGGAGGGCTCCTGAATTGAGCTGTCTGGTGTTTGTGGGGCAGGTGATCCTGGACCTGGAGGAGGAGAGACAGAGGCACGCCCAGGACACGGCAGAGGGGGACGATGTCACCTACATGCTGGAAAAGGAGAGGGAGCGGCTGACACAGCAGGTACCACAGTAATCCGGGCTCTGGGAGGGGATCAGGGGGGATGGAAGAGCAGTGAGAACCTCATTCTATACACAGCAGGTACACAGCAACCCTGGGAGGGGATCAGGGGGATGGAAGAGCACTGGGAACATCATTCTGTACACAGCAACACTGACCCTGGGAGGGGTCAGGGGGATGGAGGAGCACTGGAACCTCTCTCTATTCACAGCAGGTACCACAGTAATCCGGGCTCTGGGAGGGGATCAGGGGGGAGCACTGGAACCTCATTCTGTACACAGCAGGTACACAGCAACACTGACCCCTGGGCACCTGGGTGGGGATCAGGAGGGGTCAAAGAGCACTGGGAACCTCATTCTGTACAGAGCAGGTACCACAGCAACCTTGGGAGGGGATTAGGGGGGATGGAAGAATAGTGAGAACCTCATTCTATACATAGCAGGTACCACAACAACCCTGGGAGGGGATCAGGAGGGGTGAAAGAGCACTGAGAATCTCATTCTGTACAGAGCAGGTACCACAGCAACCCTGACCCTGGGAGGGGATTAGGGGGGCTGGAAGAATAGTGAGAACCTCATTCTGTACACAGCAGGTACCACAGCAACCCTGGGAGGGGATCAGGGGGATGGAAAAGCACTGAAACCTCATTCTGTACAGAGCAGGTACCACAGCAACCCTGGGAGGGGATCAGGGTGGGTGAAAGAGCAGTGAGAACCTCATTCTATACACAGCAGGTACCACAGCAACCCTGAGAGGGGATCAGGAGGGATGGAAGAGCACTGGAACCTCCCTCTGGAGGGCACTCATAGCTTTTATCATCTTGATAGGAAAAACAGCCTTAAATTTCTCTATGTGTTTTGGTAGATGAGCAGTTYTAAAGTGTATTGATAGGTAATCAGACACTTGGAATGAAATCTTACCTCAGCCTGAAATCTGAGGAGTTCYAAAGAGCAGAGCTGCACTTAAAATTGATAGTGCTCTGCAGTGCTCAACATTCAGAGTAAGTCATGCAAGATCTCCTGGGGGTGTTATTCAGAGACTCTAATAAATATTTAAGCCACTGTTTTCTGTTACTCAAGCACTGTAGCCTTTATTAAGCATACATAACACATCAGCATTTTAAAGCCTAAATGCCTGTAAAAGGCAAGCTGACAAAGTGCAGCAAATGAGGTGGAAGGAAGCTTTGCCTGTTAAATCAGTGCATGGCAGACTGGGCTTGGAGCTCACCAAAGGGCAATTGAATTTCCTCAGGATGAAGGTAATAGTGAGTGGTTGTTACTGCGTGCAAGCTGAGTCGTTCACACTGTCTTGCAGGTTTTTAGGGCAATAATGCCTTTCTTAGCCATTGTCATGTTTTACTGCCAGATTTCTACAAGATACTCAGTAACCCTGTTTCCTTTTGGGGTGTTGCCCTTTATKTACTTTCAGGAGGTTTTATGGTACCCTTGCAATCTTTTTTGTTCTTAACTTCCAGGTGGAGTTTGAAAAATCCCAAGTGAAAAAGTTTGAAAARGAACAGAAGAAGCTGTCGAGCCAGCTGGAGGAGGAGAGGGCACGCCACAAACAACTGTCTTCAATGCTTGTTGTGGAGTGCAAGAAAGCCACTGCCAAAGCAGCTGAAGAAGGGCAGAAGACAGCAGAGCTGAGCTTGAAAYTGGAAAAGGAGAAGAGTAAGGTGAGTAAACTGGAAGAGGAGCTGGCAGCCAAGAGGAAGCGGGGTTTGCAGATGGAAGCACAAGTAGAAAAGCAGCTCTCAGAGTTTGACATTGAAAGGGAGCAGCTGAAAGCCAAGCTGAACAGAGAAGAAAACCGTACAAAAGCACTCAAGGAAGAGGTGGAATGTCTGAAGAAAGCCCTGAAAGAACTGGAGGCCTCTTGCCAGGAGCACAGCCCCTCGGTGACATCCAGGGGGGTGACCACTGACAGTCCCCCGGTGAAATCTGTGTCCTGCCAGACCGAGAGTGTGCAGGCAGAGCGAGCAAACCCTGCCAGCAGCAGCAGGGCAGCTCCCAGCCCCTGCACAGCCAGCCATTCCTATGCCAAATCCAATGGGCACTGTGACACAGACGTGCAGCCAGCTGGGGAGGCACAGGCCAACGCTGCAGAGAGCCACCTTCCACGGGAGAAACCTGCTGCAGCCTCAGAAAGTGCAGTGGAGAATGGAAATTCTCCTGGAAGAACAGAGTCACCCGTGCACCTGATGTCCCAGCTGCCATCTGCRGGGGTGTCCCTGTCCCCCAGCAGCACGGCTGCCTCCTCTCTGACACCTTCTCCCTGCTCGTCCCCAGTGCTGAGCAAACGCCTGGTGGCCTCTGGCAGCAGCCCTGGCTACCAATCCTCCTACCAGGTGGGCATCAACCAGCGTTTCCACGCRGCACGGCACAAGTTCCAGGCGCAGGCAGAGCAGGAGCAGCAGTGCAGTGGCCTGCAGAGCCCTCCCTCCAGGGATCTGTCCCCCACCCTGGCAGACAACTCTGCAGCCAAGCAGCTGGCCAGGAACACGGTCACCCAGGTGCTGTCCAGGTTCACCAGCCAGCAGGGTCCCATCAAGCCTGTGTCCCCAAACAGCTCTCCTTTTGGCACAGACTATCGGAGCCTGGCCAATGCTGCCAGCCCCAAAGCAGAGTCTGCTCACTCGCCCAGCCCTGCCAAGGTTTCCAGTCCCCTCAGCCCCTTGTCTCCTGGAATTAARTCACCAACCATTCCCAGAGCAGAAAGAGGGAACCCTCCACCCATTCCTCCAAAGAAACCCGGCCTGGCTCAGTCACCTGCTGCTCCTTTAACCAAAAGCTCCTCCCTGGGTGCCCCCACGGACRTGGCGAGTGGCTGCTCTAACAACTCTGTCGTGTCAAATGGCAAAGAGCTGGAGATCCTCCTGCCAAGCAGCAGTTAGTCTCCAGAAAATGGGAATGTGACATTCCACAGCTTAGCTTACCCTGCAGCTAAGACACTGTTTTTCCACTCCGTGTTATTTATTTCCATAGTAGCAGATTCTGTCTGTATAAAGCATTTAGTATAWTTTTTTTTTCTTTTTAATAGGTAGGAAAATATTTTTGTTTATGAAGAAACCTTAACTACAGCTATACAGTAGCCTCCAAATGTCTCATGGCAGCAGTCAAATCATTAGAGATAACCATAATCATGTGGTGGGACCTATCAAYCTCTAATGGGACTGAAATGCTGCTTTTAAATTATGCAGAAATAATTTTTGCAGACTTTTTACTCCAGATGAACATTTATRAAAGTGCCTGAACTAAGCCTGCAATATGAATGTGATTCTCGGGAAAAGCTGAGGAGGGGAACATCTAGCTGCAGAAACAAATTCTTCTGAGTCCTGAATATCCAAACCAACAGTGGTTTTCCTTTTAGTTCTTTCCATTTGCTAAGATAAGTTAGCAAATGCTGTAAGGTGAGCACCAGACGGGTGCAGGCAGCCAAGCTGTGTCCTTCAGAAACAGCTCCCTGCTATTGGAGGAAGCACACATGAGTTTTTTGGGGGAAAAATCAGTTTTAGTATCATCCAGGTTGCTTCTCTGTCAGAATTCCTCGTCCATATAGTTCTTCCTGCTTTCCTGCAGAGATGCCTGTGTGTTTTAAATGGCTGGACTCTGGGTTTTGGTGTATCACGTGGGATTTAAAAGCTCTTCAAGCATTCTACTGTTGTGTGTAGAACTTCTGAGAAAAGGGTCTKTCTGTTACTTGACCAAAATCTCACTAATACTTGAAAAAATAACTCGTTCTTACAGTGCAGTTTTTTTGCAACAGGAACATGGGATCTTTAACTATAAACAAAAGCAATAATTTTGTTCCTCATCTCTGTCAGTGAAGTCTGACCTGGATTTTACCCAGTAGGAATTGAATATCTGTGTCTGTGTCACACACATACATACTAAACACACAGTATATTAGGGAAATACTTATCTACTGCCTCACAGGAAGAAAACATGGCAATTCATGAGATTTAAAGGAATTCCTCAGTGAGGAATTGCCTGAGTTTGAGGCAGATCATTCATGTGAAGAAGTATTTGGAAGCAAGAGAAGCATTTGGTTCCTGTGCAGAATATTTGCTGCGGGGAAAGCAATGGGCACAGCACAGTGGTKGTGTGAGTCACTGCCCTGGGAAATCCAGGACAAACACCACAGATGAGTGGCAGAGCAGAGAGCACGACCCCGAGTTCATGATCCTGGTGTTGGATGTGAGCTGATCCTAAATTTAGCACTGGATTTGCTGCTGGGTTCATCCAGTGCTGAGCACTTCTCTCTGTTTGCACAGAGCACAGCTTCCACTGCCAGAGCCCTTCTCTTTGTCAGGTTGCACTGATCTTTGGATAAAATCCCTTTGTTTGGGATATCCCTGTGCCACGGGGATCAGAACTGTCCAAGGCAGGGTTCCTTTGGGTCTCATTCTGTAGGACACAGARCTCTTTGCTGGAGTGGCCCCACACAGCCATGGCTGGGCTTTAAGAGGTTTGCACAGACCTTTTAGTAACCTATTAGTGGTATTATGGGCTGTTCCTAATCCACTGGAACAGGCTGTGTACTAACAACAGCAGCAGCCACTCTTGGAAGCACATTTATTACTTTTATACCTAAGTACCCACAGCAGATTTTTTTTTTCTTCTTGCTGAGAGTAAATGTAAAAATGGATGGGCGGATGGATTTTGSCCCATGTATCCCTTCTGATTGAAAAGTGAGGCTTTTGTATACACTGCTTTAATGAGTTTCTTTGCTTTTACATTAATCTGACTGGTATTATCCCCTTTATTGATAGCTCTAGACAGAAAGAGATACTATGATGAAGTCTAATAGGAAATGCACTGAGTATTGTTTCTTCTAAAMTATAATATGGGAAGGGGGTATGCAAAAGAATGTATTTTTGCTAGTAGACTAACTTCTGAAAGAAACTAAGCACAAGGGATTTAAATGGATCCAACTAATTCAGTAAGACATTTAGAGTTAGTATTTAACTGTTGATGTAGATTCTGTGTGGAAGCAACTAAATATTTCTAACTCACAYGTGTCCTAAGCAGACATTGTTGCAGAGTTTGTCACTGGCTAATGGAGTATAATGAAGTGCAGAACATATAACACTAGTATTAATTCATTAACACTTGTAAATTTGTAAAGCCAAATGTACCAAGTGGAAGTCTTTAATCATTTTTATAGCTGATGGCATTAAACATGTTAAACATTCGTATTATCAATAAAGGATTTTATTTTTAAGATGTGCAAATTGCTTAAGGAAATGTTTGGAGTTGGGGCTGCCCAGCAGAAAACATTGGTGATAACCGGGCAGCTGTGCTCATCTGGAACCTGGAATTGAATGGAAGCTCTGAAAAGTCAGAAGAAAGCAAATTTCTTGGGACTACACTGGATCCTGRGTGGATTTGGCTGCTGCAGCCTGAGCATATTGCTGCTCCATCTCCCCCACCTTCAGCTGCTGTAAATTGGGAGGTTCCCTGGGGCAAAGTGTGCTCTGGATGCTCCAGATAATTCTGGCTTTTAGGTATTACAAGTAAAAACAGTTTTTCCTTGAGTACCTCTTTGCCCAGTGCTGTGATACCAAACATTTCTGTTAAGGAACACTTTGGGGTGTGGGCTGAAGGGGATGTGGCAGTGCCCTGCTGAGGGTCAAACATGACACAGATTTACTCATGGAARTTCCCTCTTCCATCGAGGAGTGTAGCTCAGTTTTGTCACGGGATAGAGCTGGGAACAGACCCCAGGACCTGCAGGAAAA